CCTCCTCCTCCTCCTCCTCCTCCTCCTCCTCCTCCTCCCCTGCTTTGCTTCCCATCCTTGCCTCTGCTCTCCGCATGCCCATCCCATTTCGGCGAGCCCCTCACAGGGTTCGCGGCCCCACAAGGAACTCCAGCGAAGGCCCCAGTGGCAGCGTTTGCATGCAGTTCCACCCTGATTTCGGCACACCCCTCACAGGGTTCGTGGCCCCACAGGGAGCTCTACCGAAGGCCCTAGTGGCAGCGGTCGCATGCAATTCCACCCTTGTTTCGGCGCACCCCTCACAGGGTTCGTGGCCCCATAGGGTGCTCCACCGAAGGCCCCAGTGGCAGCGTTCGCATTCAGTTCCATCCTAATTTTGGCGCACCCCTCACAGGGTTCGTGGCCCCACAGGGAGCTCCACCGAAGGCCCTAGTGGCAGCGTTCGCATGCAGTTCCACCCTCATGTCGGCGCACCCCTCAAAAGGTTCGTGGCCCCACACGGAGCTCCACCGAAAACGGTACTCACAAGTGCGGCACTGACAACTGCATTTGGTTGGGTTCCTCGCCAGGCTAATTTTCTTCATGGCAAGGGCCGACGGAGGCTGGAGGCCCATCGGGCTCCTCAGCAGCCTCATCCGCCTGCTGGGGAGGATTCGCAGGATCGACGCGGTCTAGCGGGAGGCTGCCAACAAGCGCGAGTTTTTCTTCGGCGAGGTTGGGCGCTCCTGCGAGGACGCGGTCTGGCTCAAGTCCCACGACGCGAACGTGGCGGTTGCGATGGGGCTGCACTCGATTGCGACGATGGGCGACTTGTCGAAGGCGTGCGAGCGGATCTCTCACGAGGGCCTGGTCGCTGCGGCCCGTCGTCACGGTTTCAGGCTCCGACGGCTGGCGCTGATCTTCCGAAGCTATTGGGGGGCGAGACGCCTCTGCTTCAGCCGCTGGAAGTCGGGGGAGATGCGGCTCGGCAGCTCCATCGTGGCGGGCTGCGGGTGCGCCACGATTCTCCTTCGGGTCGTCCTCCTCTCCGCGATGGACGCGGTGATGGCGGCGTGGCAGTCGGTGCGAGGCTACCTGGTCGTGGGCGACATCACGCTGGCAGTGTGTGGGGAGCTGAGAGAGGTGGAGTTCACGGCTTTCGGCGCGACCAGAGTCTTTTGCCAACGGCTCGAGGCACTGGGCTTCAAGGTCTCGCTGACCAAAGGGAGCGTGAGGAGCAGCGACGAAGGTGCCGGTAAGCGGACGGGCCCACCGGTTGCGGAAGTGGGGCTACAGGTTGCGACGTGCTGTCAAGAATCTCGGGGCCGACTTCGGCATTAAGCCCAAGGCGTCGTCCTCCGTCCTGCGCAGCAGAGTGGCGAGGCTGGCGGTCAGGTCCCCACGCTACATGGCGCATCGACGCGCGGGGGCCAAGCAGGGCAGCGTCTTCAGATGCGGAGGTCTGGCATCCGTCCTCCATGACGCCAGGGTGGTCGGCGTGCGGCGGCGCTTGAGAAGGCGAGGGCCATCGGCGGCCAAGCGCTGGTGGGGGTCGTGGGCAGCAAGAGCTGGACGTTGCAGTTTGCCGCTGCAGCCTGCCCAGGGCAGGAAGCTGGACCCGCCTCGCAGCCAACAGCTTGCCGCTGGAGGCCTGGGCCAAGGCGGTGTTCCTAGGGATGCGCAGCGATGCGAGCCTGGAGGCGGCCTTCCACGCGGCGCAGCCAGAGTCCTGGGGCCAGGTGCGCGGGCCCGCGGGCGCCGTCAAGCTCACCCTCAAGAGGATCGGTTGGGAGGCCCTCGACTGGTGGACCTGGGCCACGGACCGAGGAGACACAGTCGACCTCAAGATCCACAGCCCCAAGCGAGTGAGGCAGATCATCGAGCGGGGGATCCAGCGCGCGCTGATGAGGAGGCTGCAGCAGGGGCACCTGGCTGGAGTGCTCGATGGGCAGCCGGCGCTCCGCGTCACCCGACAGGCGCTGGCCGCATTGCGCAAGGGAGGGGGCTGCGAGCAGGTAGCCTTGGTCGAGTCGCTGATCTGCGGGGGCATGGTGACTCAGGCGGACCTGTGCCGTGAGAGAGCAATGCTGAGCCCCCTGAGGGCTGGTCAGTTTGGGGCTGAGCGGTTTCTGGTCAGTCTGTGGCTGGAGCGGCTCCCGAGGCCAGCGCAGCAGGAGGTGTGCCTACGAGGTGGAGTGCTGCGAGAAGACCAGATCCACGGGACGGTTGACGGCTCGGCGATGTTCCCAGAGTTGGGCGAGCTCGCGCGGAGTGGCTGGGCCTGCATTCTCGTGGGCTTCGACGGGGCGCTGAGAGGAGGTAAGTATGGTTGCGTGCCTGGGCCGGTGCAGGAGAGTGGCTGTGCCGACCTCTATGCGTTGCTGACAGCATTGCAAGAGAAGTGTCCCGAGGTCGACGTTGACACGGACGGTACTTCCGGTAGGTGGAGGACTTCGAGCGATGAGAAGAGTTGTGCGTGGTGGCGGGTTCGCCGTACACAGACTTGTGGCGCGAGGTCTGGGAGCGTGTCAAGGACCTCGGTGCCGAGAGTTGTAGCCTCCGCCGAGTGCGGACCCACGCCGGTTGGGCCGCGACGGAGGCTGCAGGCGCCAAGGTGGCCTGGCACCGCGGCGACCGTTACGCGGGCGTCAAGGCTAAGGAGGGCGCGAGGTTGCACCCCTCCTTCGCCGCCTTGGGGGAGACGGCGGCCCAGGTGAGAGCGGCCACCCGTGCCGCGGAGGTGACTGCCGCTCGCCATGGGGTGGTGCTGAAAGAGCTCGCCTCATCTGGTTGGCCTGATCGGAGCCCTCTCCCCACTCGGCCCTCCCTCCGACATTCGTTCGTTCTCGTGTCGGTCGAGAACGGGCATTCGGTTTTCCGTCTGGGAAGTGGCTGGGGCTGTAGCGTCTGCGGGGCTAGAGAAAAGGGTTCCGATTCAGGCTAGTGTGCTCGCCCTGCCCAGGAATGCCCAGGCCTGCTGCGATCGCCCACTTCCCCTATAAGCTGTGGGTGGTTCGTGGGGGTCGGGGGCGGGGGGTGCTCGGAGGGGCTCGTGGGAGGCGTAGGGCGATCGTGTTTTGTGGGATCCGCGGGGCCTTCGCGCGTCGGCAGGTGCGCGGCCTTGGTCGCCCCTGCCGTCCGTCCTCGTCTCGGCCTCGTTCGTCGGCCCGTCTGGCTCGATCGGCCCTGGGACGCCTGTTGTCTGGCAGGGGGCCCCAGTCCAACGTGCTCTGGGGGCTCCCCTTCCCCTCTCTCGGGGCTCGTTCGGCGCGGCGCCCAACGTCGGGCCCGGGGAGGGCAAAACTCGTCGGGCCCCGAAGCCAGGGAGGCATAGGCCTCCTGTTTCGTGGTTGGCCCTGCTTGGTAGTAGGTTCGGTTAGTTCGGCGTTTGCGGGACCTTCTCTTTGTAGGATCAGAGGATCGGAGGAGGAGGAGGAGGAGGAGGAGGAGGAGGAGGAGGAGGAGGAACTGACGCTTGGGGGCCGCGGAGCAGCCCCTGGAAGGGCGCTCGTGGTAAACTCATCCGGGCCCTGCAGAGGGCTCGGGGTATTCCACTTGCTAATCATCTGCCGGCTGGCCCACTGCGGCGCCCCCTTCCCCACCGGGCAGGCAGCGGCGAGGAGGAGGACGGCGTGAAGTTCTTCAACGCGGCCGCCTCGGCCGCACCCGGTCCCCTGTCGTGCCGGCCTGAGCCCTCCATCGACGCGCTGCCCTGCTATTTTCCCTTTCGCGTCCTGCTGTTCCTCGGTGCTCGAAGGCGTGTGTGTCTTGCTGTCTGCTTGTGGGGGTGCCCGTAGGCTCTCCGCCGCCGCGGCGAGGAATGCCCCTCGAGAGACTGGCCCAAGCGCACCCTGGGAGATGCCTGTGGTCGGGAAGGGAAAACTGGTCAGGTCAGCGCTCCTTCCCCTCTTTCTCCCCCCTCCTCCCTCGAGAGGGGCGAGGAAGGAAGGGGGGAGAGGAGGGGCAGGAGCACTGACTTGACCAGTTTTCGATTCCCAATGTGGGCCGAACTTTCAGGGTCGCCGTGGACGACAGGGGTCCTGAGGACAACTTGTTGCTGGATCTGTGTTTGATTCGGCATCTACAGGGCCCTCCAAGGGCCCTGGGGGCCGTCAGAAAACGACTTGGGATGTCAAGACGGTCCCCTCCCCCCCCTCTCTCCTGTCCCCCCCCCTCTCCCTCTCTCCTGTACAATTACTCAATATGAATACTACTCTCCCTCTTCCCCTGATGGCGTGCTGGGAGTGGCCGCCCCCCCCCCCGCGTACTGTTTTTTTACACAGGATTCCCGGGGGGTGGGTTTTCGCCTGCGTTTTTTTTCAAAATGCTGCTCTCGCTGAGGCGCCGGCCTCATTTCTGCTCCCGAATCGTTCCGAATCGTGCTCCCGCTGCAGCGTGGGCCTCATTTTCGGATCGGTGTTTGGCCTCCGTCGTTCAGGATGGCGTTTTCGCCCCAGCGCGGGCCTCTTTCTCGCGCGCCCATCCGCCCGCCACCACCGCGCCGCACCACCACCACCACCACCACCACCACCACCACCACCACCACCACCACCACCACCACCACCACCACCACCACCCCCACCACCACCACCACCACCACCACCACCACCACCACCACCACCACCACCACCACCACCACCACCACCACCACCACCACCACCACCACCACCACCACCACCACCACCACCACCACCACCACCACCACCACCACCACACCACCACCACGCACGCACGCACGCACGCACGCACGCGCACCACCACCCACTACGCACGCGCGCGCGGAGCCACAGGTCCGCTACGACACGCGTCCGCGGATAGAGAAAATCAGCGCCATGGTAAGGGATGGGAGGGAGGGGTAGGACGTCAGATATGACGCGAGCGCACCTAGCTTGCCCCTTCCCCTCTCTCTCCTGTCCCCCCCCTCTCCTTTCCCCTCCCCTCCCCCCCCCCTCTCTCCTGTCCAGGGCGCAGTGAAGGGGGGGGAGCTGGGGGAAAGAGAAGGTGCAGAGGCGGGGGGGGTCCAGGAAGGAACAGGGGGGGTGGGCGGAGAGGGGATTGCAGGGGAATGGGGGGGGTGCAGGAAGAGAGGGGGGGGGGGCGCCGGAGAGGAAGGTGCAGGGGGGGGGTGGCGGTCCCGGCATTGGGGAGGCCTTGCGTGTCAATTCTTTCGTCGTTTGCGTCCCCCCCTCTTGCAGAGCGAAGCTTGAGCGAGCTCAAGCCCACGCTCTCAGAAACTCACACGCCGTATCGGCGGATTTTCCAGGACGAGGGATTGAGGAGGAGCGGAGTGGGATGGTGAAGAGGAGGAGGAGGACGAGGAGGAGGAGGCAGGAATTCATATGAGTATGTGTATGTCATCTTGGCAAAGTAACTTGTAGACACAGCGTGAACTAATTACACACGGTGGCATCACTTCGCCTCTCGCCTGCACTTGACAGTTCCGACTGCACACCGCGGGAAATGGGAACCAGGTGCTTCGCTCCAAGGGCGACCGAGCCGCAATCCTTACCAGCGCTCCAGAGGGCTATGATGCTGCATGGAATGGGAGTTCTGCGCCCCCACCCTCTCCGCAGTGTGCAGCTTGGCCAGCATGGTACAAGAGGGACGCCAAGAAACACCCTGCTTGCCTCCAGGGTGCCCTGGATTTCTTGGGCTTCGATGTTTCGATACGGAACGCGTGACGTTCCCACACCAACAATCAGTGGACTTCCTGAGGCTCAGTGCTGGGTTTCTCGTGGAAGGTTTCTTGTTGTCGAGCTCCTACTTAAGGGAACAAAAAGTGGCATAGAGATCCGCGCGGATTTCTCGGATCGGCGCTGGGGCCCCTCGGCGGCGCCTTCGGCGCAGCCCCTGGCGCGTTCCGCGCGCCAGGAAGGGGGGTTCCAGCGCCGATCCGAGAAATGTTTTTATGTTAATGCCACTTTTTGTTCCCCTACTACTGCACTTTGATCACCAGCAGGCTGGAAACAAGCAGCGGGCGCTCGCCTGCTTGCAGGGGGCCTCGCAGGCCGAATTCTCGCACACGTGCACACGGCGCAGCGCCTCCCGGAGAAGCTCCAGACGGTGTGCGCCACCGGGGGGGAGACCGGCGCCGATCCGAGCATTCAGAGCGGACCTGCAGGTTAGTTTTCTTCGTGCCTTTCGTCTCTTCGAGGAGGGAGGAGGAGGGGAAGGAGGACAGGATGAAGGAGGAGGAGGAGAAGGAGAGAGCAGTGAGGAGGAGGAGGAGGAGGAGGAGGAGGAGGAGGAGGAGGAGGAGGAGGAGGAGGAGGGGGAGGAGGAAGAGGAGGAGGTTGAAGGAGGAGCAGGATGAGAAGGAGGTGGTATTAGGAGGAGGAGGAGAAGGAGGAAGAGGAGGACCAGGTACCAGGATGAGGAGTAGCAGGAGGAGTAGGAGGAGGAGCACGGATGAGGCTGAGGATAGCTTATACTGATGCCGTTCACCCGTGCTATTTGTCGTCCGATGCGGACGGCAAGGATGGTCCGGGGCTCGGGCGCCGAGGTCACCACGGCGTGCCCGGGAGCTGACGAGGCCCCCGACCTCGCAGAGGCGGAGGAGGTGATGCGGCAGGCGCTGCCGCTTGCGGAGGCGCTGGAGGAGGCACCCCACGCCGTGGGAGGGGGGTGAACGAGGGGGGATGAGGGGAGCCAGGAGCGAAAGAAGGACGTACACGTACATGAATCCACGTTGCTTTCGAAAGTGCGCATTGCGCAAATGTTTGTGCCACGAGGCTGGTCGCGCGGGAATGGGAGGTCGTATTCATGTACGTGGGCTCCCTGGGGACGTTGGACATGACTCCCCCCGTCGGTGTTCTGCGGCGGCTGCCCGCGCAGCGCACAAACCCCGTCGATCGCTGGGTGCGTCCCCGTCTTGCCTTGGGGGCCTCGTTCTCATCGGGCCCCCCCAATCGCCAGATCCTTCGGTGGCAACTCATGTGAGCTCTGTATACCCTCGTACCTATACGACCACCCTTCGGGTGATAAGGAGGTTCGGGGGGGGGGAACCAACGTCTCACTCGATCGGTCTCACTATCGATCTCAGTATCGATCTCACTATCGGTCTCGCTCGATCGATCTCACTCGATCGATCTCACAATCGATCTCACTCGATCTATCTCATTCGATCGATCTCACAATCGATCTCACAATCGATCACACAATCGATCTCACATTCGGTCTCAATATCGATCTTACTATCGATATCACAATCGCTCTCACAATCAACGTCATCATCATCATCATCATCAGCATCATCAACATCAACATCATCACCAACATCGTCATCATCATGAGAGCACCGTCAGCATCATCATAAACATCATCATCAACGTCAGCATCATCATCGGGACAACATCATCATCATCATCACCATCATCATCTCATCATCATCATCATCATCATCATCATCATCATCATCATCATCATCATCGGGACACAGTCGTCGTCATCATCATCAGCAGCATCATCAGAACCATCATCATAATCGGGACACCATCATGATCACCATCGTTCTCATCATCAACATTATCATCAACATCGTCTTCATCCTCGGGACACCATCATCATCATCATGATCATCGCATCATCATCATCATCATCATCATCATCATCATCATCATCATCGACATCATCATCAACAACATCATCAGCATCATTGGGGCACCATCATCATGAGCAACATCATCATCAACATCGTCATTATCATTATCATCATCATCGGGACACCATCAGCATCACCATCATCATCACCATCATCATCATCAGCATCATCATCGGGACACCATAATCATCGTCAACATCATCATCATCAACATCATTACCGCCTGGACACCATTTCCATCAACATCATCATCACCAACATCATCGGAATCATCATCATCATCATCATCATCATCATCATCATCATCATCATCATCATCATCATCATCATCATCATCGGGACACCATCATTATCATCATCAACATAATCATCATGGGCATCATCATCCTCATCATCGGGACACTATCATCATCATCGACACCATCATCAACATCATCATCTTCATCGGGACATCATCATCATCATCATCATCATCATCATCATCATCATCATCATCATCATCATCATCATCATCTCATCATCATCATCCTCGCGGGACACCGCGGGACACCGGCGGGACACCGCGGGACACCGCGGGACACCGCGGGACACCGCGGGACACCGGCGGGACACCGCGGGCCACCGGCCACCCGGAAGGGAATCATTTGGTCCGGCCGCGCCTCAGCCACACGGGACTTTCGCGGGACAGCGGCGGGACACGGCGGGCAACCGGCCGCCCGGAAGGGAGACATTTGGTCCGACCGCGCCTCAGCCACACGGGACTTTCGCGGGACACCGGCGGGACACCGCGGGCCACCGGCCGCCCGGAAGGGAGACATTTGGTCCGGCCGCGCTTCAGCCACAGGAGATTTTTTCTCGCCCGCCCACGCAGTTTCGCCTCGCCCGCCCGCACGGCACGCACGAACACGAAACCGAAATCGATTTCCCTGTAGGGGGGCTCTCCGTTCCACTTCGATCTCACCCCCTCACCTCCGATGATGGGCCTGTTTCCCACCACCACCACCACCATAAGTTGGAGGGGGGAAGGAGGAGGACGAGGAGGATGATGAAAAGGGGGAGGGGGAGCAGGAGGAGGACCCCCGTCCCCTTCAAACTCATGGTGGTGGTGGTGGAAAACAGGCCCATCCTCGTAATTCCGTCTTTCGAGTGCACTGGCGCTTCTTAGCGTCCAGTAATCGATGAGCTCGGGCCGATTAGCGTTAAGTCGGGCGTGTCCCCCTACAGTCGGGCGTGTCCCCCTACAAGGGGGAATATGTTTTGACTATTTTTAAAGTGTTTTTAATTTTTCGTCGAAAATCCCCCTGTAGGGGGACAGGCCCGACTTAAGATTAGCGTCTGTCCCGCAGCGTCCATCAGAACAGGAGGAGGACGTTGCGCCGACCGCGCCGAGAGGGCGCGGTGCGTCCAGCGCCACGGGTGGCCCTCGGCGGGGTGGCTTCGCGTTTCCTCCGTCGCCCCCGACCATCGGAGGAGGGGGATTGGCAAGGGGAGGGAGGCGAAGGAGGTGGTATTAGGAGGAGGAGGAGGAGGAGGAGGAGGAGGAGGAGGAGGAGGAGGAGGAGCAGAACCAGGATGAGGAGGAGGAGGACCAGAAGCAGGATGATGAGGAGGAGGAGGAGGAACTGCAGCACAACGACGACGAGGAGGGGGGGCAATAACACGAAGGCGATGGAGGGAAACGATGTTGGCGGGGATGATGATGATGATGATGATGATGATGATGATGATGATGATGATGATGATGATGATGTTGCTGACGACGATGCTGCTGATGATGATGCTGTCGATGATGATTATGCTGCTGCTGATGCTGATGCCGATGCTGATGCCGATGCTGATGCTGATGCTGATGATGCTGATGCTCATGTTGCTGACGATGCTGATGATGATGGTGTTGCGGATGATGATGCTGATGCTGATGATGACGATGCTGATGATGCTGCTGATGATGTTGATGATGCTGCTGATGGTGCTGCTGTTGATGATAATGCTGATGATGCTGTTGTTTTATGATGATGATGATGATGCTGCTGACGATGGTGCTGACGATGAAGACGACGGTGATGATGCTGCTGCTCCTGATGATGATGATGCCGATGACGATGCTGCTGATGCTGCTGCCGATGTTGACGATGATGCTGATGATGTTGATGCTTGTGAAGGAACATGAAGACGACGCTGCGGCTGCTGATGATGATGACGATGCTGATGATGGCGATGATGCTGATGCTGATGATAATGATTATGCTGAGTATGATGGTGATGATGCTGTTGATGATGATGCTGATGATGATGATGATGATGATGGTGTTGATGCTGCTGATTGTGATGATGCTGCTGATGATGATGAGGATTATGATGATGGTGCTGCTGCTGATGATGATGATGATGTCGATGACGACGATCACGATGATGATGCTGATCAGTATGAGGATGTTGATGATGCTGATGATGATGGTTGTTGTGGTGGTGATGATGCTGCTGCTGATGATGAGGACGACGACGATGACGATGATGACGATGATGCTGACGATGATGCTGATGATGATGGTGGTGGTGGTGGTGATGATGATGATGATGATGATGATGATGATGATGATGGTGAAGGTGGTGGTGATCGTCGCGATTGTGATGATGATTATGCTGCTGCTGACGATGATGATGCTGACACTGATACTGATACTGATGATGACTGTGACGATGATGCAGATGATGATTATGATGATGATACTGCTGAGGGTGATGATTATGATGGTGATGGTGATGGCGCGCAGATGCGATCGAGAGTACCGCCTCTGATCTCTCACGGCGACCTGATTTTTCACCACGTCGGACGGCGGGGCGGGGTGAACCGGACGGGGCTAGTAAGAGGATGAATCCGTTCCAGGGCGTTCCATAGCGTGCCAGAGCATTCCGAGAAGGCCGCGGCGCCCGAGACACCGTCCAGATCTGCGGGATCTCAGAGGTTCTCGAGAGATCCTCGCCTGGCCTTATCCGAGTCCTGGCTTCGTCTTGGCGCGGTGAGCGCGCTTTGTGTGGACTGGTTTGTGCTGTGTCGCCAGGCGTGTCCCGAACTCGAGGGCTCCCCTAGGACGGGGCCCCGTTCGGGGAGGGAGGGCGCGGGGGGAGGAGGCCCGGGAGGGAAGGAGGGTGCCCGCCCTTCATTTTCGAAGGGAGCTCCACATGAACATTTACATCGAGGGACTCCTCTTCCTCCTCCTCTCCTCCTCTTCCTCCTCCTCTCCTCCTCTTCATCCTCCTCCTCTCCTCCTCCTCCTCCTCCTCCTCCTCCTCCTCCTATCTCTCCTCCTCCTCCTATCTCTCCTGCACCTCCTCCTCCTCTCTCCTCTCTAGACCCTACTCCTTCTCCTCCACCTCCTCCCCTCCTCCTCCTCCTACACTCTCGTCCCCCCCCTCATCATCCTCTCATCCTCCCCTCCTCCTCCTCCTCCTCATCCTCCCCTCTCCTCCTCCTTCCCTCTCCTCCTCCCTCCCCCTCCTCCTCCTCCTCCTTCTCCTCCTCCTCTCCTCCGGTCTCCTCCTCGGTCCTCCCTTCCTCCCCTCCTACTCCTCCCCTCCCTCCCTCGACCCCTCATCCTCCTCCTCCTCCTCCCCCCTTCCCTCCTATCCCCTCCTCCTCCTCCTCCTCCTCCTCCTCCTCCTCCTTCCCCTCCTCCTCCTCCTCCTCCTCCTCCTCCTCCTCCTCCTCCTCGTCCTCCTCCTCTGCGCGGACCTCCGACAGCCTATCTTGCTGTCTCCGGCAATCCGTCACCGTGCCAGTGCGGCAGGGGAGCTGGAGAGGGGCGCAGCGGAGGAGGGTGTGGATGCGGTGCAGGAAGGAGGGGCAAGCGGAGGCGGAATGGGAGAAGGAGGAGTAGCAGGAGTCAGAGGAGCAGCAGGAGGGTGAGCATAGGGAGGAGAGGTCGACGGTGGCGGCGTCGGGCTCGAGGAGGACGAGGGTGCGCAGCGCAGACGGGAGGTCGCCGTGGACTTCGTGGCGCCGCTCGTCGTTCTTTTCGGGGATGGCTGGACGAGGTGCTTCTACAGCCGCCAGGCGATCGGGCCGCTTCCTCCTCCTCCTCCTCCTCCTCCTCCTCCATTTCCTCCTCCTGAGGAGGAGCAGGAGAAGAACATGCTCAGCATATTTCCTTCCCTTTGTGTACTCACCTACTCTCATACAGGTACATGTCCCACCCGCTGCCCGTGGCGGGGGGCGGGGCACGCCGCTTTGCGCGGTGGCGCGATTTTGTCTTGTCACATGTTTGGATCGAGTCTCATGCAGAACGCCATTGTGGAAACAACCCGCCCTCTATCTTTGTAGCCGTTGGAAGGTTCAGGAGGAGTTAGGCCGGCGCTGAGGCGCGAGCCAGCTTTGGACAACGGGGCGCCTTCCAAGTCTGTAGTCGCTGGAGTAGTCTTCAGGTCGGATCAGCGCGGCGTTCGCAGCCGCCACATGTCGAACATGATTCTTCGGGCTTGCGCCACATCCGCCGAACCTTCTTTAGTTTCGGGCCACGGGTCCCTGGGGCCGGGGGCTTGGTGTTGAACGGGGCGACGACGAGGGTAGTCACACAACAACCGAGCGGTTTTGATGATAGTGGGCTCCAGGGCGTCTTTGGCTTCTCAGATGCGCCAGTTGCGACCCTGTGGGCGGTACCGCAGAGGAGAGCAACCTGTGGCCGCCAGAGGGTTCGACGGGGTCGGGGGATTTTTTTGGGCCAGCGGTTGTGCATCCTTCGGGGTGTGCCGCGCAGAATCCCACCTTCCAGAGCGACCGATTCCCCACTGACCCATCCTTGCTTGCATTCGCAAGGTTCAGGAGGGACAGAAACACACAGACACAATCAGTCGTCGATTCCCCAGAACATATGGGAAAACACGGGAAGTGGGGGGAAGACAGAAACCCAGAAAATAGGGGAAACTATTGGGGATCCTTTTATTTGTGTGTACTGATTTTTTTTTTTAATATTTTTATATATATATATATGTATGTGTGTGTGTGCGTGTGTGTGTGTGTGTTTCTCAGGGCCCCTTCCAAGGTTCGCTCACCAACCGCCACGGTCTCAGTCCTCTCTTTGGCCCCGGGGGCGCCCAGGATGCCCAGACGGAGAAAGCGCGCCGAAGGTTCTTCGCAAGCGTCGCAGGCTGGGGGACAGAGGAGGCGGCGGAGGAGGATCGTATCGTTAATCTTTACCAGCCTGGAACATATCCCTACTCCAGATTTCGTAACAAAAGGGAGGGGGTCTGGACCCTCCAAGACAGGCCATTTCAGACCTCCCCCGTGGGAGAACCCTCCAAAACATCGTCCCCAGACCCCCCAGGCCCTCCAAGATAGCCTGGAAGAGACCCCCCCCCCGAAGTGAGACCCCCCTCCCTTTATTACGAAATCTGGAGTATCCCTATGCTGGGCATCTCCTCATCACGATGCCAATCTTAGGGACTCCTCTTTACTTTTGAGGGCGCATCCCTGAGACTGTCATCGCCGTCTGGCGTGTCAATCTCAGGGATAGGGATAAGGTCGAGGCTGGTAGAATCTAGCCCTGGGGTACTCTGTTTCTGCCTTGGCCTCTGACAGCTCCCGAGCCGCGCGGGCCTGCCGCCGGATGTGCTCACACCGCTGGGCGGCACGAAGAGACACTGGCGTGGCGCGGGTGGCGCTCCGAAACGCCAGGGACCAGGAGAGGAAAAAACAGACAGACACAATGAATCGTCGATTCCCAGGAACATATGGGAAAATATGGGAAGTGGGGGTGAAGACAAACACCCAGAAAATATGGGAAAGCATGGGGAATGTTTTCATTCGTGTGTATTTAGTTGTGTGTCCTGGGGCCCCTTCAAGGGAGACGCCCAGCGACGCGGGTGGGCTTCGCACAGCCAGCACGTCAACGGGCGGTGCGGCTGCACCCGGCGGCACACCGAACGCACGCGGCGGTGCGGCAGACGCCGAGGGGCCCCGCATGGCGCTCTGCGCAGCCGGAACGGCCCTCAGAAGCGGAACTGTCGGGCCGGGCCGGGCGAAAGGGGGGGATTGGGAAAGGGGGGGTTACAAAATTTGCTGCATGTAGCTGGTTTCGGCCCCACCGAGGGGCCCATTCCTCGATACATGGCCGCCTCCAGCGCCCGGAGGCGCCGGGAAAGTCAGCTACGTGAGCTAATTCTCAAACCCCCCCTTTGCTATCCCCCCCTTTCGCCCGACCCGAAACTGGCACACCAGGGTATCAGAGCTGCACCCAAAGCTGCGGACGGCGGTACAGTGCCGTTTTTGATACATGCTCCGCGTGCGGATCATGTATAACAAATGCAGGGATTTAGCACTAAAAACAACGATGAGTTCGTGCATAAGTGAATTCTTAAATTCTTTACGCTTCGCGTATCCCCACCAGCCCATCTCAAAACAGCAACTCTTGCGAAGCATGCCGACAGTCGTGTTTTTCAGGCGTGTTTCCGCCTGCCCCCGCATATCTCCCCTGTTCCTCCTTCCTCCCGCCTCCTTGTACATCCTCCTTGTGGTGGGAGCGGGAGAAGGACGAGGCGGAGGAGGAGGGAGAGAAAGCGCTCCTCGTGGTTTGAGTCGTTTGGGGTTTCTTGTCCTGGTGTGAGTCGTTCGGGCCCTTCTTCCTGGTGTGAATCGTTCGGGCTCTTCGTGATGTGAGTCGTTCGGGCTCTTCGTCCTGGTGTGAGTCGTTCGGGCTTCTCGTGGTGTGAGTTGTTCGGGCCCCTCGTCCTGGTGTGAGTCGTTCGGGCCCCTCCTCCTGGTGTGACTCGTTCGGGCTCCTCGTGGTGTGAGTCGTTCGGGGCCCTCGTCGTGGTGTGAGTCGTTCGGGCTCCTCGTGGTGTGAGTCGTTCGGGCGCCTCGTCCTGGTGTGAGTCGTTCGGGCCCCTCCTTTGGGGGCCTCTTGGCGGCCCCAGGGGCTTCTAGGAGCGTCCTGGGTGCCTTGGGGGAGCCTCTTCGGGCCTCTAGGGAGCCTCTTGGAGGCCGTTTGGGGCGTCTTGGGGGCCTCTTGGCGGCTCCAGGGGCTTCCAGGAGCGTCTTGCGTGCCTCGGGGGAGCCTCTTGGGGCCTCTTGGGGGCCTCTTGGGGGCATCTTGGGGGCCTCTTGGAGGCCTCTTGGGGCCTCTTGGGGCTCTTTGGGAGGAGTCTGGGAGGAATCTTGGGGCCTACTTTCGGGCGATCGATCAAAGATGTTTTTTTGTTTTTCTCCCCCCCCCCCCCGTCGGGGCCAGAATCCTCGTGAGGGGTGTCGTTTTTTAGCCCTCCGAGGAGTCGACAAAGACCCCTCCAACGACCCGCGGGACGCCCTCTCCAGGCCCAGGGGGAGGGGGTAGGGGGAGGGGTAAACCCCTCCCCGAAGGGGAAGAAGGAGGGTCGAGACCAGAGCGGGCTCTCTAAACCACTCACGCCCACAGGGCTGGTGGGATTCTAGTAGTAGTAGTAGTAGTAGTAGTAGTAGTAGTAGTAGTAGTAGTAGTAGTAGTAGTAGTAGTAGTAGTAGTAGTAGTAGTAGTAGTAGTACTAGTAGAGTAGTAGTAGTAGTAGTAGTAGTAGTAGTAGTAGTAGTAGTAGTAGTAGTAGTAGTAGTAGTAGTAGTAGTCGTGGTAATAATAGTAGTAGTAGTAGTAGTAAGTAGTAAGTAGTAAGTAGTAAGTAGTAAGTAGTAAGTAGTAAGTAGTCGTAGTCGTAGTCGTTAGTCGTAGTCGTAAGTCCGTAGTCGAATGTAGTAGTAAGTAGTAGTAGTAGTATAGTAGTTTAGTTAAGTAGTGAGTATAGTCTTAGTAGTAGGAGTAGTAAGTAGTAATGAGTAAAACGAGTAGTAGAGTCGGTAATAGTAAGTTTGTAGTTGTAAGTAGTAGGAGATGAAATGTAATAAAACTAGATGAGTAAAGTAGTAGTAATAGTGTAAGTAGTATTAGCAGTAGTACGTAGTTGTAGTAGTAAGTATTAGTAGTAGTAGTGTAGTAAGTAGGAGTGTAGTATGTAGTAGTTAGTAGGAGTAGGAGTAGGAGTAGGAGTAGGAGTAGGAGTAGGAGTAGGAGTAGGAGTAGGAGTAGGAGTAGAAGTAGTAGTAGATGTCTTTTGGGAGCCTCTTGGAGGCCTCTTGGGGCGTCTTCGGCGCCTCTTGGGGCCTCTTGGGGACCTCTTGGGGGCATCTTGGGGGCCTCTTGGAGGCCTCTTGGGGGCCTCCTGGGGGCCTCTTGGGGCCATCTTTGGGCCTCTTGGTGCCTCCTGGGCGCTTCTTGGGGCCATCGTGGAGGGGATGGATCAAAGAAGAGGGGAGCTTCAATGAGCGCTGCCCCCTCAGAAGGGCAAAATGAGCCCAAACCCTTCGTAAAATCAATGATTTTGCCTTGAAGGAAGAGGGGGAATGGGGGGGTGGGGGGGGGGGGGGGAGGGGGTGGGAAGAGGGGAGCTTTAATGAGCGCTGCCCCCTCAGAAGGCGAAAATGGGGCCAAAACCGTAGTAAAATCAATGATTTTGGCTTCAAAGAAGAGGAGAGGGTTTTTTCTGCCTCCCCCCGTTGGGGCCAGAATCCTCGTGAGGGGTGTCGTTTTTTAGCCCTCCCAGGAGTCGAAAAGGACTCCCCTGACCACCCGCGGTGGGACCTCTCCAGGCCCAGGGGGAGGGGGTAGGGGGAGGGGTAAACCCCTCCCCGAAGGGGAAGAAGGGGGGTTGAGAACAGAGAGAGCTCGCTAAACCACTCACGCCCAAAAGGCTGGTGGGATTAACCATTCTGAGAAATCCTATGCTTTAAAAAATCCTATGTATCAAAATCTGCCCTGTATGTTTTTGTGGCACCGGTTGCCACCAGGACGCCGCAAGCCCCGCCGCCTCGCACGGCCAACGCCACAACGGGGGAGGCTCTCGCGCCGGGGCGACGCGATGGGGCAGCGTCCAGGCCTCCGAGCAGATGGGGTGGGTGGATCGCGCCGCATCGGCGATGCATCGGCGATGCGGCTCGATGTGGAGGCCGCTTTGCTTCACGCCGACGTCGGTGATGCATCGCCAGTGCATCGCCAGGGCATCGTCGATGCATCGCCGATACGTCGCCGGTGCATCGCCGACGTAGCGGCGACGCGGCGCGATCCTCCGACCCCATCTACAGTCGACCCGCAGAGTAAGGATGGGCGACCTTCCCAAGGATACCCTCGCATCCTCGCCTCTTCCGTCTATCCTTGACCAGTTCCGTTGGCCGCGCCTCGCTCGGGAAGCTTCGAGATGGGCATCCAAGGCCCTGGCATCCTTATCCCGCATCCTTACTCTGCGGGTTGACTGCACTCCGACCCCATCCAGGAGGCCTCTGTAGAGGCACGGGGGGTCCTGGATATCGCCAGGCTTAGGTCGGGCCTGTCCCCCTACAGGGGGATCTTCGACGAAAAGTAAAAAGTACCACCAAAATACCCCAAAAAGGTCAACAAATACTCCAGCAATGGTCCCCAGACTATTTTTTGGGACTATTCTTTTTAACTTTTTATTTTGGGGGGTATTTTCTATTCTTCGTCGAAAATCCCCCTGTAGGGGGACAGGCCCGACTTCACAGACTGTAGCTTCGAGGTGCCGTATTCGAGCTCCAGCGTGAGCTCAGAAAACAATCAGCGCAGCAGGGCGGAGGCTGCGCCGAACCTGCGCGGACTATGTTTTGGACTCTTCTGGGGGTCTTTTTTGCTCCTCGTCGAAAATCCCCCTGCCTGGGGGACAGGCCCGACTTTCAGTGTAGCTCGAGTCTCCCCAGAAGGCCGGGCTGCCAAGACTCCCCCCCCGACGACGAGCGACAGGCCGACGAAGCCTCGACCACACCCGACACCACAACGAGTAGGGAATGAGGAGGTGGAGGAGGAGGACGAGGAGGAGGAGGAGGAATAGGAGGAGGAGGAGGAGGAGGAGGAGGAGGAGGAGGAGGAGGAGGAGGAGGGGGAGGAGGAGGGGGGGGACAGGCCCAACTTGCCGCCCGGCGCGCGCCTCTCTGGCGGCGTGGCCGCTCTCGGCCTCGGGAGGCGGACGGGGGGGAGGAGCGGCCTCGCGGGCGGCCCGGCCGGCTCTCCCCTGCGCGCGCTGCCCGACGGCGGGAGGAGGCGGAGGGGGAGGAGGGAGGGCCCCCTCGGCCAACATTCGAAGAAGAAGAATACTACAAATAATAATAATCATAATAATACTAATAATAATAATATTATTAATAATAATAATAATAATAATGATAATAATACTACTAATACTAATACTAATAATCATACTAATAATGATAATACTAGCAAGAAGAATAATACTAGTAATAGTAATAATAATAAGAAGACGCATAAGAATAATAATAATAAGAGGAATAATAAGACTAATAATAATAATAAGAATAAGAAAAATAATAAGAAGAATATTAAGAATACTAAGAATACTAATAATAATAATAAGAAGAATAATACTAATAATGATACTACTAATAATAATGATAATCATGATAATAATACTAACAACCATAATCATTAGAAGAAGAAGAAGAAGAAGGAACGCTATGAACATGCACTTTTGCTCTTGTAGTTCTCCGCGTGGATTTCTTATCTCTGCGCTGGGCCCCCCCCCGGCGGCACTCCTGGCGCCGCCCCTGGCGCGGTCCGCGGCCCGTTCGCGGACAGGCTGTGGAGGTATCCCGATCGAGGCGCTCGGCTTGCACCTCCGACTTCTCTCCATTTCGAGCCCCTTGGTCACTGCGATGTAGCAGACTAAAATTGTTTCACGGCCAGTCACTCACAGCCGGAAGCGTCGGGAAATGAGATGTCGTTTTCAAGATCGATTGTCGTTTGTGTCACGTCTGCCAAGTGAAGGGGCCCGTGGTCCGCCAACCCGTTTGTTGTTTCCGTTCCCGCTGCGTGGTCAAAGCACATCCAGATATCACAATGCCGTTTGCCTGGCGCCCGTTATACCTCTTCCTGGGGTGCCGTCTTCAGATCGCTGTGGTGGCGAGTCTACAGCGGAGCCATCACCTGTGAGAGCAGCTGAGGTCCTGGCCCCTTCTCCCCAAGCTCCATTTCGATCCGATCGATCTGATTCGATATTGTGGAGTCCGACCGGTTCGATCTGATTCGATTTCGATGTTCCCATTATCCCATGCGGCCCGATGTTTCTGTGGAGCTGTGGTGCATCCTGGTGCAGCCGACCCGCTTCGGTTTTTCGGCTCCGTGCCGATGCAGCCCCATGACCGACGCAGACTCCGATCCGATCCGACTTCCCGATTCGGCTCTCACCGAGTCTGCTTCCCCCCCTAGGAGGCCACACGCGAGCCCTACCCCACCACCCCACGATTTCCAAGGGGGAAGGTGGGGTTCACTCCGCTCGGGAGGCTCCGAACGGCGTGAACCCCACGTCCCCCCCTGGAAATCGTGGGGTGGTGGGGTGCAGTGGAGGCCCATGCCAAGAAACACCCTACTTGCCTTCAGGGTGCCCTTGGGTTCTAGGGCTTCGATGGTTTTGCGATGGGGAGCGTGACGTCCCCGCATCGAAAATCCATGCACGTCCTGGGGTCTCAGGGTTAAAATAGTCTGGTGACGATTGTTGAGCATTTGTTGACCATTTATATATATGTATTCAATTGTTCGTCCAGCATCCCCCTGTAGCAGGACAGGCCCGACTTACGACTAGCCGCTAGTTTCCACTGTAGGCTTCGCGTGTGGCCTCCTTCCCCCCGGCGGCCTCCCAGTGGCAGTGCCGCGTGGCGGCGCTGATGCACCTCTCGGCGAGCATCGCGCAGCGCATCGAGCAGCTCAGCGGCAGCGACGGCTCCTCCTCCAGCGCGCTCGGCGACGCGGGGCTGCGGGGGAGGGGCCCTGTGCACGCTGCGCGCTGCGGCCCGGCAGCCTCGTCCCCCCCCCCCCTTCCTCTCCTCCCCCGTGCTCTCCTCCTTTTCCCTCCCCTCCGCCTCCCCGTCTGCTCCCGCCTCCTCCCCCCCCATCCTCTTCCTCCGCCTCCTCCTCCTCCTCCTCCTCCTCCTCCTCCTCCTCCTACTCCTATCCTTATTCCTTATTAGAATATACCCTACTCCCCCCTCAGGCCGGCCGATAGGGGCCGCATCCGGGTGGTCCCATCGTAACCTGTTAAAAACAATACAACATCAACATTTTTTTTTTCCTCTCGACATGGACGTCCTGTCGTCCACGGCGATAATCCATTGCAAAAAATACCACAAAGAGCACACGCGCGCGTTCATGTCAGAATCCTACCGAACACCTTGTGTTTGCAAGCATTTCAACATAAAACATCAAAAACCCAATGCTTTTTCACAAAAATTGTACAAATTTCCCGCCCGGGCTCTCTTGCTGAAATCATAGGAAAACCATAGGAATCTTAAGAATTCTGTCAAATCCAGCGATTTCACGTCATCGCGCGGTGCACTCGCGATGCTCTGTCATGCGCCCAGGCCGCGAATCCTGTGCAAAAAATACCACAAAGAGCACACTCGCGCGTTCATGTCAGAATCCTACCGAACACCGTGTGTCTGCAAGCATTTCAACATAAAAACATTCAAAAAAAAAACACATGCTTTTTCACAAAAATGCTTCGGGGTATCCTGTCAGACCGTCGGGCTTCCTCCGGCCACCTCTGGCTTCCTGCGGTGTACCGGGCCATTCTCGACTCGTCTGGCAATGCGTGCGCGGCATTCAACACGCGCTCGCCAGTTCCCGTCGGCAACCGCCATCGCGGCCGCATCAGCTGTACAAACCGGGTGGCCGGTGTGACTTCGGCCCCCAGTTGTGCCAGCTTTGCTTCTTATGTTGTGGGAGGGCGGGTGGGACTGGGCATGCCATGCTTGACTCGCTCGAGCTCCTACTCCTACTCCGCCTGGACCTCAGCTTGGCGGAGCGGCGCAAGGCGCGGGCAGCGGCAGCCGAGGGCAGGACGTCCCTCTGGATGCAAAGGAGCTCCAGATGCTGGTCGCCCTGGCGCGCCGCGCAGGTGACCAAGCCGCAGCGGCCAGGTACCAGGGCCAGCTGGACTCCATGGCTGCAGCCTCGAAGCCGCCGCCAAAGGCACTGCAGGACCAGGTCGGCGACCTGCACCACCGCACCAAGAAGCTCGACGGCAGGCTGGAGGCCGAGCTGGCGAAGCTGGCGAGGTGGCAGGACGGCATCAGGGCGCAGGAGATTCTCATCCATGATTTGTCGAAGCAGTCCGAGGCCATGGTCACAGAACATCGGCAACTGGTTGCACAGCTTCACAGTGCAGTTGTTCCTCCCTCGGCCGACACAGAGCCCACGCCTGGGCCCGCCTTGTCACTCCGTGACCTCGTGGACGGGCGAGTCTCCAACATCGTCATCGACGACGGGGGCCTCTTCTCAGTCGACGCTGACGGCATGGAGGAATCGGACCTCAAAGAGGTGGAGCGGCGTTGGGCCGATTTCAAGGAGCATGTCGGCAAGGCAGCCAAGGCCCTCTTCGCCGAAGCGATGGAGCGTGCGGCAGTCGCCAAAGCCGAGCACGACGGGCACCTCAAGCGCATGGCCACCAAGCGCAGGAAGGGCTGCGATGGAGCCGCGTCGGCTGGGGGAGGAGTTCGTGAAGGGGGCGCTGAAGCAGCTGAGCCACATGCTGGCGGCGCCTCTGGCAGCGGCGACGCTTCGGCCAGCGACGTCAGCCAGCCAGCCGCCCAAGTCAGCCGAGTTCGCGAACACGCAGCACGTGCTGCGGAGCGTGTTCAGCAGCAGCAGGCGGCCCCTGAGAGCAGCGGCTCGGGTGAGCGGCACAGTGAGCAGCACAACCGCAGCCCCCCTGACGGTCAGCAACAGGCCTGAAGGGGGGGGATTCAACTTTTCTATGTTTGCAACACATGACAGGTGTTCCAGTTCGGTTTTTTGTCGGAGGGAGGTCGACAGCGCGCGCAGGCTGTCAGGACCCCTCCTCCTCGCGCCCAACTTCTTCCTGTTTTGCCTCGAAATATTTGCCACGACGCGCGAGCTTGGGGTGGTATCCTCTCGGAGCCAGGGCACTCTGGCACCACTCTTGGAGGCCCCTTTTTGCCCCCGCCACCTCCAGGCCACCAGTCGTTCCGTCTCTGGGTCGTGTCGGTCAACGGTAATGCCTGGGGTCGGTGAAGGAGTGGCTCCCTAGTGTAGATGCTGAAGTCCTTCTAGTCCAAGAGCACAAGCTTTTGACTCAAGAGGCTTTGGATAGAGCTTCCTCTGTTTGTCTCGGCCTCGGTTTCAAATCGCTTTGGATCCCTGGCACGACTGGGCCCGAAGGCGGCCCTTCTGCGGGGGTCTCGATCCTGCGTCGCGCGAATCTTGGGCTTCATCGGGCGCCCCCGGGGCTCGAGCTGGCTCCTCATAGGGCCATCGCGGCCCTGGTGCACGCGCCCCAAGGGGACGTGTTTCAAGTTTGTTCTGTGTATATGCGTGACTCGGAAGGGCTCTCGGAAGCTAACCTCGAGATACTGTCGGCGATAGGGGCGGAAGGGTCCACCTGCGGGAAACCATTCCTTGTCGGGGGGGATTGGAACATGGAGCCATCCGAACTCGCCAAGTCCCATTTCGTGAGCACCCTGGTTGGTCAAGTCATCGACCCCAGCAAGCCTACCTGTCACGCTGGCGCGGGCAAAGTTTACGACTACTTCGTTGTATCTGCTAGTCGATTTTTTTTTCGTTCATTGTGCTTTTTTCTCTTTTCGACTTTCATGTCTAGCTGATGGCCATCGTCGTTCGTATTTGTTTCTTTTGGGGATGGTCTTTGTTTGTGATGTTGTTTGACCATCTTGTGTGTTGGTATGGGTGCTGTGGTTTTTCCATTTGTGGTGGGCTTTATATTTGGGCTTCTTTTTCCCAAGTGGGCCCCGCCGACAGTTTCGCATTATGGAGGACCGTCTGGTTTTGGTTTCTTTCCGCACAGCCCAGTCTTGCCTCGATTTCCATTGCAGAGCAGGACTGAGAGGATACTGACCAGATGCTGGCACTACCTCGCATTCAGGCGCCCGCCCCGCCCCCCCAGCCCCCCCCCCGCCTCCTCTCCATCCGTGAAGTATACCCTTTTGGTCCACAGCCTGACGGCCCGCTGGACTTTACTTTCTTCTTTAAGCGCTGACGTGTCCGTTTGCTATGCCCAGCTGGACGCTGGTTTTTTTTTTGGCGGTTTTCATTCGAGCGAAGCGAGGGGACGATGGGGTCATGACTGCTCGCCTATTTCGTGAAGCTTACGCGTCTTGGGCGGGCCTTGCTGAACGGGAACTTCCAAGGACTGTCGGGGTTCAACTTCCAGTTTTGGGGTCTAGGGGCATGGGGCCCAAGACTCATTGGAGGTAGATCCTTAGTAAAGATCACGGTTGCGTGCGGTACCCCCAGCTCCACGCCTGCCGCTGGCTCGCTTCGAAGTTCAAACGTCTTCTCTCCAGTGTGCAGCGGGGGGATTGGCCTCAGGCTCGGGAAGTGGGGCGTGTTTTGTCGTCTCCCCCCCCCCCAAGTTTGTGTAAGCCCGACAACCTGTTCCCTGGGATCGAAGCGGTTTTTGGAAGCGTTGCCTCGGTGATTTCGGACCTCAAGGTTTTGGAAGACCCTCTGGAAGGGTCGGGCTCTGATCCTAGCTTCTTGGAGGCTCAGGAAGTTTTGACTGCCCAAGTCGAAGAGGTCTCAACCCAGGTTACCGATTTTGCCTCGCAGTGCAGCGCCTTCGACGCAGCCAAGGCCAGACGTGATTGGGCGGACTGGCTCACTGAGAATGTCGATCAGGGTGGCCGTAGGGCGCACGGCTACACGAAAGACCTTCAAGGATGGTCGCCATCTGCTACACTTAGTGCTGGAGGCTGCGTGGTGTCGGACCCGCAGGCGCTCCTGGCCGCCGAAGCTGATCGTTTTCGCTACTTGTGGGAAGGGCTGCCTTTACATCAGAAAAGGCCAGGGGAAGTGAATGCTCACCTCCCTTCTATTTCGGTGGACACCATTCGTAAGGTTTCTCGCACTTTTGCCCACAGGTCTGCCACAGGCCTGGATGGGTTTCACTTGGGACACTTTTCGGTGCTGTCCGACGGGGCTTTGTGGGCCCTCTCGCGTCTCTTCACGTTGATGGAACTCACGGGCACCCTTCCCCCGCAGCTGGAGGCCGTGATTATTGCTATGCTGCCGAAGCCCTCCACTGGCTTCCGCCCCATCGGGGTCTTTCCCAGCCTGCGCAGATTATGGGGGAAATGCAGGAGAGATTACGCTGTTGAGTGGGAAGGGAAACACCAGGGAGAGTACTGGGCGGCGGGAAAATTCAAGTCTGCTTGCGATGTTGTTTGGCGGCAGGCCGCCCGTTCGGAGTCCTCCCGAGCCTGCGGGCAGCAGGCCTGTACTCTCCTCTGGGATTTTATCAAGTATTACGAGCGCATCCCTCTAGAACTTCTGGCTCTTCGATGCAGGCAACACGGCTTCCCAGATGCGCTCGCCGATGTGTGCATGGCGGGATGCCGTTCTGCCCGCTTCCTGGTGCTAGCTGGAGTGGTGGCGCCTCCTACCTACGCGAGGGTTGGAATCATAGCGGGGTGCAGTTTTGCGACCACTATGATCAGGATATTTGCCCTGCGTGGCTTTGATCAACTGGAGGCCCCCAAGGGGATCACGTTCGATGCGTACATTGACGACCTCGGGATAACTGCGATCGGGACCACTAGGCGCATCATGAAAGAACTCCCGAGAGCGGCTAAGTCCCTCGAGGAGATCATTGAGAATGTTCTTTTTGCGCAAGCTTCTCCTGACAAGGTCGGGTTGGTCGCGTCGTCTAAGGAAATCGCTGGACATGTCCAGAAACGACTGGGGGGGCTTGGAGGAGTTTTCACTGA